GGGATCGCAACCCTCAGTGTCGCGCCCGTACCGGACCGGCAACGGGATCGCAACCCTCGGTGCTGCGCCCGCACCTCACTCAGCCAGTGAGCGGGAACCAGTCTGTATGTGGGATCCGAACCCTCGGCGGGAGCGCTGCCGCGCTTCCCAAGCGGCACACTAGCGCAGTGCGCCACCGGGCCGGCCCAAGATTTGTATTATCTTTTAATTCTCTTTTGAAATGTTTCCCATGAAGAAAACTCCAGGCCCTGGTGGCTTCAACAGTGAATTCTACCAACACTGAAGGAGGGAAAGGGCCACTGATGTACAAACTCTTCTATAGATAGAACAGAGGAGAGAAAGCTCCTCAACTCAGTTTACAAGACCAGCATCACCTTGATACCAAGGACAAGGACAAGAAGGACAAGGACATGGCAGGAAAGGAAACATTAAGGGCCAGTTTCCCTCATGAACATAGATATAAATAATTTGAAATCAAAGTCTCAGAAATCATACTCAACTACCCCTTCAATGACCAGAAGTCGTACAGAAGTAGGAATGTTACCTGCTTCCTCCTGTTTTTCTGTTACTTTTCTTTATCTTCCTCATTTTTACAGGGATTTGCTTTATTTTCCCCCAGTCTTCAGCCCCCACCCAGGCACTGCTTGGTGGTCCAAAAGCCACAAAGGTAAAAGTGGCAAGGGGAGCTTTGGAGATCCAGAGTAGAAGTTAAAGATAAGGGGACTGTGTGATCTGCTTTCCCCACAGAGTCCCAGTTATTAATAACTTTCGGTCCCAAAAGTGTTCTGGTTTGGATGAGAAATTTTATGATCATCCACGTTAAAGGATTCTATAATGCTTGGATTACACTGAGCTATCTCAGCACACAGTGAAGAATAAAAGGGATGCAAGTGAAGGCAGGAGCGGGGGAAAGTAGGAAGAATTAAGTGAAGAGAAGAGCTAATTTGTGGGTAGAAGGTGCAGAGATGGTGGTTAGGTTAGGTGCGGGTTCCAATTTACAGATCTTGAAGGAGGGTCGTGCCTCATGTTAACCTCTTAGGTCTGTAAAGTCAGGGATCGCTCTGTGAGGTCAGTCTAAAGCAGCAGGAATTATTCAAAGAGAGCAATATAGGTAGTCTGGGTGTCAGTTTATGAGATATACTCCAGAAATCACACTATAGAAGAAGTGCAGGTCAGTCTACATCAAACTGGTTTAATCTGTTAATTACTGGTTGACTGTCATTTGCAAAGAACTATTAGGCTATAATCTTTTTTTTTTTAATCCTTGAATTTCTTCAGAAGAGTGGTTCTCAAGGTGGGATTCTCAGATCCCTAGTGGATCCTTGAGACCCTTTCAGGGGATCTATGAGGTCAAAACTATTTTCACAATAATATTAAGATGTTATTCGCTTTTTTTGTTGTGTCGATGTGTGTGCTGAGGTGCAAAAGCAGTGGACGGTATAGCTGCTGGTCCTTAATATAAATCAGGGCAGTGCCACCAGATTGTATGAGGAGTTACCGTATTCTTCACTGCTGTGCAAGCGTAGCTAAAAAAAAAAAAATGCCAGTTTTATATATATCCTTGATGGAGTAGTGAAAAGCATTAATTTTATTGAACAGAGACCCTCGAGTGTTTAATAGTCTATGTGACAGAAGAGGAGATGTGTGTAGAGCACTTCTGCTGAATACGGAATTTAGAAGGAAAAGCACTCGCTCAGCTGTTTGAGCTGAGACTGAACTGAACCAACTGCTTCCGTGCTTTTTACTCAATAAGCAACTGATAGACATCGTTATTCAGACTTGGATGTTTGGCAGATACTGTCTGGAAAATGTACCAAGTGAGCCTGTCACTTCAGGAAAAATAACTGACAGTATTTATTGCCAGTGGTAAAGTGGAGCTTTCAAGTGAAAATTGGAATTTTGGAAACTTCAGTCTGATACCGTGAACTTGACACCTTCCTAGTACTTAAAAACTTTTGTGGATGAGCTCAGTGGTGATATTAATGAGTGGGATTTTTTGATACCATAAAATGGAAGATATCAATATCTAGAATATAACTCAGTGAACTTGTGTTTTCTAAATGACAAATGTCATAAGATCATGCCTGGGTTAAAGATCCATTCAAAGTGCAGGACAGAGCAGTAAGCTTTAATGTACAGGAGCATGAAAAGTTTATTGGTACTGTTTCAGATTCCACATTGCAGCTAACCCTTTAGGAGCTACCATCTGTTGAGTGTTGGTGCGGTATCAAGAAGAATAACCGAAGTATTACTAGAATGTTATTGGAAAGCGCTATTAAAATATGCCTTCCTTTTCTAATTATATATTCTGTGAGGCCAGATTTTCTTCCTAAAATAACACAAGGCGATTGATTGAATGCAAAGTATATGAGAATCTGGAGGTGTCTTCCATGAATGAAATTGGAACAAAATACAAAAGAGTGTCACTCTTCTCACTAATTTTGGGGGGATGGGGGTGCTGGAGAATATAGTTAATGAAAAATGTTAATATGTAATAGGTTTAATATTGTTTTTTTAAGATGATTTTTTAAAGTAAGTACTTAAAGATTTTTTCAGTTTTAATTTCTAATATGGTAAATGTCAATAGATATAATCCACCTGAACAAAAGCCCTTGAGAATCTTCAGAAATTTTTATGAGTCCAAAGAGACCAAAAAGTTTGAGAACACTGCTATAGAACATGGGTTTTCAGCCTTGGTGGACAGCAGGATCATCTGTGGAGTTTTTAAAAATACCAGTGTCTGGGCCCCACCTCTAGAGAGTCTGTTGAATTTGTCTGGGGTGCAGCGTGGGCATTGGGATGTTTAAAAGCTCTCCAGGTGGTGCAGTCACAGTTGAGAGCCCAGCTTTAGATTAACAGGCCCTGGAACTTCCCCTGTGCCTCATTTTGGTCTGGAAACTGAAGCACTTCTTTTTCTTTCATGGAAGAAATGCATTGAATCATCCAACAGAGGTTTGCCAACCTCAGCTGTCTTCCAGGCAGGTACTTAGTGCTGGAGATGGAGTAGTGAACAAATGGAAAAGATCCCTGTCCCCAGGGAGCAGGAGGGACAGCTCCCGGTGTACCCGCAGAGGAGGTGGATAAGCAAGAAGACAAATACGTCTTATTTTTCTGTGGGGTTGAGGGTGGACCTCATAACGTCCCAGAGCCAGGGTTACATGCTGTCCTGATGCTTGGGTGTGCTTTGCCTTCAGACCAAGTTTCAGCCCCGGTGTGCTGCAGTCCTCGGAGCTGGTGCCCCCTGAGCCCCAGCAGCCACAGGCATCGGCCGAAGCCCCCTTTGCTGCCCGAGGGATCTACTCAGAGGAGATGCCGTCGGTGGCCCGGCCACGGCCTGTCGGGGGCACCACAGGTACACGTGGCTATGTAGCTTGCATTTCTGAACTCTAGGACATTTGTTTTTTTGGCTAAACTAGAAAAGACTCTAATTTAGGCTTTCCAGAGTATCAAGTGTCCCAGTGGTCAGCGGCCTCTTCCACTGGCCAGAGCCATTTTCCTGGGGATCTCAGTAGAGACGGAGGGCAGGGAGGTGGGAAGGTGGAGCTGCTGCGGTCCCCTGGGGCCTGTGCCACTGATCTGTTCCTGAGTCTGCCCCTTCACGTTCCTCCAGGGAAAAATCCCTAAGTTCTTGCAGTAAATGGAAAGATCTATTTGTGCGCACTTGGTGTGGCAGTAAAACAAGTGTGTTTTTTTTTTTTTCCTTTTTATCTTTTTTACTGACCGGCAATGGGATCGCAACCCTCGGTG